AAGGTGTATGGTGATCTCGGGCTTCACAGGCAAGGACCGGGGCTAAGACTGGGAGTTTGTGGTGGTATAGTAGGAGTATAGCAAGACCCCAATGTAATTACTATTATCCCTTATGGCCACTATCACAAGTAGTTGGATCTACCTTAAGTGGCGGGCTTGGGGAGTTTTGGGTGTGCGGGGTCCTAAGGCGAAGGTTGCCAGGGACGCAGTTGCCCTGATGGCTTCCCAACGCGTCAAACCCTAAACCCTAAACCGCTCAATACGCTCTTGCCCCGATGCCAAGATCTGAGTAATGTACACGGTCTAGGGTTTACCCACCCGGGAACTAACATGGAAACCCCAAAAAGGGCCCTATAAAGGCGACAGTTCCTTTAAAAAGGGGTTATATGGATTTCCATGTTAGTTTGGGGGGGTGTAGGGTCCAGGGGCTGGGCTCTACCCTTGAACTGTCCTGTTCTCCAGATAAGGCTCCCATGCATTTCCAGTGTTTAGGGTTTAGGGTTTAGGGTTTGTCGTTGGACTGTACCTGGAGGGTGGGCCCAAAAGCTTTAGCCCTAATGTAGACCCTGGTAAAAAAAAAGAGCACTCTCCTTTTGAGAGCCTTATTAGTATTAGGATCCATATTACGGTCCCTATTGTAATCAGGGGTCTACATAACCCCAAAACCCTCAACCCTAAGCCCCTAGTATGTTCACAGACCTTGTAACCCCAATATAACCCCTATATGACCCCAATATTATAGTAGTTTCTAAAGGAACCCAAAAACCTAAGCCATAAACCCTACACCCCACACCCTCAAATCCTCTAAGCCCCCAAATCCCCTAAACCCCCAAGTCCGATAACCTCTGAGGATTCAGTTCCGGAGCCCTAAACCTGAAGCCCTATAAACCTTAAACCCTAAACCCTGAACCCTAAACTTCTGAGGATTCAGTTCCAGAACCCACCTTCGAGCTCAACGTCCCTGGCCGCGGATCCTCGTCACGAGCATCCAGCAAGTCCTCCACAGGCCGTGGGCCAATTGCCTTTGGAGCAGGGTTAGGGGGTTTCAGGGTTTAGGGCTTAGCGTTCAGGGTTTAGGATTTCGGGTTTAGGGTTTAGGATTTCGGGTTTAGGGTTTAGGGCTTATAGGGCTTAGGGTGAAGAACGATAGGAGTTCAAGCATCAGCAGTCTATTCGCTACATCGAGGGCTAGGGGGAATTCTGCACCCTTGAACCCTCTAGACTCGAAACCTACACCCCTCGGTCCCAAACATGCCCTACTAAGACCCTACATCGTTACACACAGAGCAATACCATGGTTTCCATTTTGTTCTCAATTCCCTAAACCCTACATCCTAGGTAGTTGTCGCCATTTTCTCATCCATTACCCAACCCCTATGCCCTAAATTGTAGTTTCCATGTTCTTTTCCAGCCCTTAAACCTTAAGTAGAATTTGCCAACTCCGTTTCCATTCCCTGAACTCTAAACCCCCTAAACCCCAAACCCCTAAACCCTAAACCCCCTAAACCCTAAACTCCCTAACCCTAAATCCTAAACCCTAAACTCCCTAAACCCTAAGCCCTAAACCCCAAAGCCTAAACCCTAAAGCCCCTAAACCCCTAAACCCCGAACTCTAAACCCCAAACCCTACACCCCTGAAACCCTAAACTGTTCAAAAGTGCGCGGCAGGCTCGCAGCGAGCGCTGATAACGGATGGCCCCGGAGGGCGCCGCAACAGCAGCCTGTCAGACTTACGGTTTTTAGTGATTTTTAGAGTTTACGTTTTTTAAGATTTCCCAAAATTAGGGGTGTACAGGGATTGTATAGGGATAATGGAAAAGAAAATGGAAACTACCATGTTGGGTCTAGTGATTTAGGGTTTAGGGATTTAGGGTTTAGGGGTTTAGGGTTTAGGGGTTTAAGGGTTTAGGGTCTAGGATTTAGGGATCTAGGGTTTAGGGATTTAGGGTTGAGGGATTTAGGGTTTCCCGGTTCCCAGAGTTTGTGATATCTGAAAATAGCAGCAATGGTAATACACATCTTAATGATCTTAGGAGTGAGAATAGTAAGTAAGAATAAAAAGAAATGACATTAGTAGTAACAGTAATTTAGTAGTAACAGTAACAGTCCGAAAAGTGAACAATAAGGTTGTTAGTGACAGGGCTTACCTTCCTGTATTCCTTGAGACTGAACTTTGGGTGTTACATGAGGTTTTGAGCAGTGTAGCCTGAAAAGAGCAGACTTCCCTAACCCCCAAAACTACAATACCAATTTCATGTTGCATCTTTTGCGCTTGAAGCTTGAAGACTTGTTTTTCCATTATCCATATGGGCATGAAGGATCAGGGGTTTAGCTTGAACCTGCGCCTCGGACTCTGAACCCTTGATGCCACCCACTCATCTCTACTATGCTTGATGACGTCTGGGCCGTTTAGGGTCTAGGATTGCGCTGTGCCCTATTGTGAGGACGACCATCAGAATCAGTCCTGTTCTTTCCATTCGCAGAAAGGATATGGAGGGTTGTCAAAATTATGGTCCCTTTTTGGGTACCCTAAATATTAGGGGCCGTATTATAATAGAGACCCAAAAAGGGACCATAATTTTGACAACCACCCATATGGGTATGGTATCTTGTACAACACTGCATTGTGCCATGGTTGCTACGCTTGCGCTTGTCACTGCAAGCGCAGTTGTTCCGCCTGTGAGGCCTAGACCCTGCTTGTAGGGCGGGGTACATAGTAAGTATATTAATGGACCTAAAAGCCGCAGAATGACCCAAACTATCCCTAGTATTCACCTACTTCCCAAATCCCCGGACCCTAAACCCTAAACCCTAAATGCTGAATTTCCCATTTTCGTTTCCCATCCTTAGCTTACTAAGTCCCCCTGACCTTAAACCCCAAACCTTAAGCCCCAAACCCGAAGGCCTAAACCATGAGCCGTAAACCCTGAAAACTTCCCTCGACCCCCCCAAGTATCAGGTCGAGACTCGGCCGGCTCCCTGCGGGATGCAGGCAAGGCCGGCGTGCCTCGCAAGATCGAGAAGTGACGGGGATTAGGGTTTTTTTAGGGTCCCTTTTAAGGGGCTGTAGGGATAATGGAAAAATGGAAACTACTATATTATAGAGTATTATACGGATATATAGGGTTTAGAGTTTAGGGTTTAAGGATTAGGGTCTAGAGTTAGGGTTTAGGGCAAAGGGGTTCGGGTTCAGGGTTTAGGGTTTAGGGTCTGGGGTTTAGGGTTCAGTATTTAGGGTTGAGGTTTGGGGTTTAAGGTTTAGGAATGTAGGAGCCAAAGTGGCTACGCCCCCCGAAAGTCGAACGTCCACTCCTTCTGCCCCCTACCATTGTACTTCATTTATTTGATAGGAGTAGGTTCTATGAGATTCAGATACATGAAGTTCTGTATCTTCATTAAGTATTCCCAAAATCCTCACAGTGGCCCTTTCTGTTACCAAGTAGAAGAGTCACAGGAGCCATAGTCTAAACTCCTAAAGGGGGTTATATAGGGGATCATATAGGGGACTACTATCGGGGTTCTCAAGGGGGTACTAGGAGTTGGACGATAGCTCACATTGGGATAATGGAGAATCACATGGAAAAGAACATGGAATATGAAGTGGAAGCTGGGCTTTTATAGGGATTCTTCCCAAAATTATGGTCCCAGATTCCATGTATAATTGCACGCGCTTACAGTACGCTTATGGGCTTTGGAGAGTCTTCAACGTTGAGGGCTTTAGTTTTGGCTTGGAGAATTTCTGACTGGAGGTTAGCCTAGGAACATCTTCCGGATGCATCTACAAGGTTCCTGAAAATAAGTTTTAATTTCTGTTACCTAGAATCCCAATATTTAGCTGAAATTACACTTTCTACTGGGGTTCCAAATCCCTTAGAGTATAATCCCCTATATAACCCTATATATAGCAGTTTCCATTTCATTTTCCATTTTCTTTTCCATTTGATTCTCCATTATTAAGGGGGATACTGGGGTTCCAAATCCCTTAGAGATCCAAGGTTTGAAGCTTTTCATCCTGGGGTCAAAATACTTATGGCAATATGGGGTAATATTAGGGTTATAATAGGGTTATATTGGGGTTATATTGGGATAATGGAAAAGAAAATGGAAACTACTATTTAGGGTTTAGGGTTTAGGGCTATTTTAAAGCCCTCAGCGCAATGAAGGGCCCATAGTGACCCTAAATTGTTGGGAAGCCCTAAAACCCTATATACCCCTTTATAACCCCTATATCCCCCTTTAAAGGTAGGACCCAGGAATCAGCTGGGGCGTCATTTTTTGGGGCCCATGATTATGACCTTAGAGCAAAAGTGACAGAATTGTACACCCAAGGACCCCAATGAACGTATACGATAGGGGTATTTGTATGGCGGTCCCTGTTAGGGATCATCTAGGGATGTAAAGCGGGCATTTTTGAGGAACTTTCTGGCTCTCATTTATGTTGCGGTGGTGGTGCGATCCCGAAATTATGGAATCAAGCACTCCCAGGAAATGTTAGTAACCTGTGCATTCTGTGGAGTCCGTAGACACGATGAACCTCTGCAGCCGGGTTGTTGCGGCTTGACGCAGCCAAGGCGTAGCACTGGAGGAGCAGGGTGGTGACGGCTCAGCGTTTTCCCACTGGGACGCGCGGATCATGCACTCTGAGGCCTCTTATCCACATGGTGTTGATCTCTTCATTTTGGTTTGCCAGTCCTTTTGGGATTGGAGAGTGTCGAATGTGGGCTTTCTTCGTGCTAGCATGTACTTATCGTGATGATGTCGGCGGTGCTGGCAACGTCAGCACAAGAAGTGCGGAGCGCACACATTGCAGAGTTTCGTTTGAGAGGCTACTGCAGCCAGCTTCTTCAAGCTCCTACATGTGAAGAGCCTAGCGCCTAGCAGGCTTGAAGGTATTGGAAACCTTTGACCAAGGAGGTCCACATGTAGTGTTCCTCCCGGCAAGCCCTGGGACATTGAAGGGACTCGTGTAAAGCGTGTGAACAGTTGTAACATGCAAGGTAATGGCTGCTGAAAGCAGTGCCGTACCCCGCATCTCAGAGATGACGCTGGCGCTTATGGAGGCGAGTGTAGACTCGATAAGGCACAGCCAAGGCAGCAAGCTTGAACAGAACCTATCAATATTTTCAATACTAAATTAAATAGTATTTTACTGTTAATACGATAATACTACTACAAAGACGATTAATACTTATTCTAATACTGTACGACAAGGAACTCCACAGCAGTGGGCTCTACAGGCTTGGCAAACCTGACAACCTTGCGAAGCCCCTTATTTTGAGTGCATGCCCAACCCCCACCCCAAAACCCTAAATCCTAGACCCTAAAAAACATAAAGCCTATATAACCCCATTGTAGTAGTTGCCATGTTCTTTTCCATGATCCCTATCTAACCCCAATATAACCCCTGAAAACTTGGCCCGCCGCCTGTCATCCAATAGATCTGGAAAGAAAGGCAGACGTCATAGAACTCCCCCTGCCTTGCAATGGCCTAAGGTTAGAAGTATGGGCCTCTACTATGGGCCCTACTTAGGCTTTTTGGGAGGATTCTAGGGACTCTAAGGGTATATATAGGGTATATAGTAGGTATATACGGATTTCAGCGTTAAGGGCCCATACTAGGGGCTCGTGTTTTCAATCTTAGAGCAATGGCTGATGAAGGATAGCGGCTGGTACCGGGTGCTCGGCGGCCTGGGCACAGGCCTTCAGTGACCTCCTGCAGGGGTTTGTGTCCGGTAGAGGTCGTACTTAGTGGGGTTAGTAGGGAATACTGGTATACATTCATACAGGGGATTATATTTCCGCATTCCGTGCTAACCGCCAGTAAGCATAGCCAGCCTTGCAATCATAAACGTATCGCTTGAACAGTTACACTGCCTGAACGTTTTGCAATGTGGCAGATTCTGACAGCGCAGCCGGACACTTCATCTTTGGTCGAGGGAAGGGCTGCGGCAGCTCAGCGTGCTTAAGTAGATTTGGTTCTGAAGCTTCATGGAGAGGTTGGGAGGGATGTAGCAGTCTTGTCTTCAACGACGAAACGCCTGCAGTCTCCTCATCCTTTGCCGGTCTCTTTGTAAGCATGTCTTTGTGCTATCAGTGACAAGCTGTGGGCTTTGAGCAAAGCTAGATGTTATGGCTCCATGTCAGGGCATGGGAACTAAGGCTTCCTTCAGCAGAGCTGTATCATTGCAGCCTGGCGGCCAGTTTCGGCTTTGCAGAGCATGCAGGGTTTGTGCTTATGTGGTCGTTTCCGAAAATGGGGAGACGCAACATAGACCCCAAAATGCTCTAGTCCTGATTATACGGACCCCCAAAAAAGTACCCCTGATTTTGGGGAACCCTCATGTATTCGAGGCTCTGACAGCAGAGCTTGAGTGGTTCGCTCGGGATCCTGCTTGAAGCCTGAACTTGAACGCCAGCTCGTGCGGGCACACTGAGACAACCTCTGACCGGGCTCTCTGCAGAACGTGTGACGGAGCAGTGCTATAAGGCTAGAGCCAACGCATGCCAGCACTTCCAGAATGAGCTGTGCAAATTAGATTGATTGTGTCTTCTGCAGAAGATCAACAGTAGACACGCCAGTACTCCTTGTTTCCAGGATGAGAAGTCTAATATGAGCAAGCACTGCCATGAGGGTTCTATACGATATTCCGGTGGAATGTACCGTAACCCTAAACCCTAAACCCTAAACCCAGCTTTCGGGAGGGCTGCCTTGGCAGCAGACATAAGAGGCTCGAAGGCTGGAAGCAGTTTGACCTAGCCTACTGAGAGGATGTCGCTCATAGACTCAGGTTATATGAGCTATAGTAAAGGGGGTTATATAGGGGATTATATAGGGTATTACTATAAGGGTTATACAGAGGGATACTCGGAGTCTAGACAATGACTCATATGGGGGTTATATATAGGGTATATATTGGGGCTATATTGGGATAATGGAAAAGAGAATGGAAACTACTATAATGGTTCATAGGCATCTCTGTACCCTAAACCCTAAACCCTAAACCCTAAACCCAAACGTTTAGAGCTCATTCAGCGTTGAAGAGCTTTTGCTTCAGCCACCAGCCTAAGGACAAGCAGAGTGCCTTCCCGGATACCTTCTGCACAGAAAGCCAGGGAAGCTGTGTGAATCCCAACGCAGGAGCGGGCTTGCTTGAACAATGGGGTTTAGCGTTTAGGGTTTAGGGTGGCCTTGTTCCCAAAGCAAACCACAGTATGACTGCAGACCTAAATTGTCAGAAGCAGCGTCACCTGTTCCCATGACCCCAAACCCTAACCCCCCATATAGTCCATCAACCTGGAGGAACCGTCACCTGCTCCCACGACCACTTATCCTTGGGAGCCTGTACCAACTGTCTGCATCAAGCCGCTCTGCCTACCAGATATCAGCATTTCGACGATCCGAGGCGGGGTCGAAAATGGGGCTATATGGGGATAATGGAACGGAAAATGGAAACTACTGCTTAGGGTTTAAGGGTTTGAGTTTAGGGTTTTTTGGAACGGTTAGACCCCGCAACTGCATGCAATGAAGGGTGCCTGGCCATCACTGATTTGTAAGTTGAGCTGTTATGACCTGTCAGCTATGATTGAGTGCGTGGTCCTGCCCTAGATTCTCGAATGAGCTATAAACCCAGATCGAAATAATCAACATTCATGTCTTCAGGGGGTTACATTGCCAGAGGAAAGAAGAGGAGATCATGGAAGATTGATGCGGTCGGTAGAAGAACCTGGCATTGCCAGCAATCATCCCAATATAATCCCTATATAACCCCAATATACCATAGTAGTTTCCATGTTCTTTTCCACAATCCCAATATTACCCCAATGTACTACAGTAGTTTCCTTTGTATTTTCCATCATCCCAATAAAACCCGAGATAGTATATGGTAGTTTCCATTTTGTTTTCCACTACCCCTATATAACCCCAAGGTTGCCAGGGAATCTAGAGCTACAGGAGCCAAAGCCGTTTCTTCCCGTCGTGCGCGTAGGTATTCGCCGCCTGCAGTTATGGGTGCTGAAGACGGCAGAAGCATTCCAACATGCCTGACTGTTGAACAATGACCTGCTATAGTATGTTTGGGGGGTAGATTGGGATAATGGAAAAGAAAGTGAAAAACTACGATTGTGCATTATAGTATTGGGATACTGGAAAAGAAAATGGAAACTACTACTACTTAGAGTATTGTTTAGAATTCCGTGAACGAAAGCAGCTTGTTATCGGCGGCTAGTGAGCAAGGATCCTGTTACAGCATCTTGATAGATTCGGTTCAAGCTTAGGGCCCTAATCCCCTCCCCCTACCCCACCCACACACCCCCAAAAAAAAACAAGATGTATAGTATAATATATAACAATGGGGAGTATTTGATGTTAGGGTGGTCGAGGGGGTTTACTGTAAGGGGGGAAGGGATAGAACCCGAAGCCCAATGCCCTTGCAAGGTTGGGAGGCATCGCTCAGTATGCTCCTGGAGCTGCAAGAGGCTGTGTTGGGGGATCAAGGATAGCTTACTCGTGGTATGTAGGGGAATAAGGGAATAGATTATATAGGGATTCTAAGAGGAGATTGGTCAAGAACAGGGTTGTGGGTTTAGGGTTTAGGGCTAGGGTTTAGGGTTTAGGGTTTAGGGTTTAGGGGTTAGAGTGGGTATAGAGGGGTGCTATAGGGATGGTATTCCCTGAGTCCAAACACCTGGCAAAGTCTGAGACGGCTAAGATTGGCTATTGCCCTACCGTGGAGCCTTTCTGGTCCTCCGGGCAACCGACCTCTTGCACAACTGGTGGTGGGGTGTACAGTGCCGGGGTTTCACAGCGCGCCTTGGGCTGCAAAAGAAAAGGTAGGTGGCCCTTTGGAATCGCTAATAGTCTTCTTTGACTGTATGGTTGTAAAAGGGAACCCCAAACCCATTCATAATCACTTTAATTGCGGGGGCCTTTAATAAGTACCGCCCAGAAAAGGAGGGGAGTATTTGGATGACCAGCTCTTCGAGGTGGTAGTCGCTAGGTTCAATTGGCTTTGCAAAAATGATTTAGGGGAAATACTGGGATGATGGAAAACTGGAAACTACTATAGTATATTATACTATGATATATATTGGGATAATGGAAAATAAAACGGAAACTGCAGCACTATATTAATACTGGGGATATATCGGGGATAATGGAGAATAAAATGGAAACTACAGTACTATGTTATAATAGGGTAAATATTGGGGATGTATTGGGATTATATAGGGGTTATATTGGGGATATATTGGGATACTGGAAAATAAGATGGAAACTACTACTTAGGGTTCAGGGTTTAGGGCAAGGGGCTTTGCAAAAATCAGGCAGGCAATATTGCATGCTCAAGCTGAAGCCTCATGATGCAACATGACCACCAAGCCCCTCCTGGCTTGGCACCTGAGAGTCAGATGCCTAAAGCTGCGAAGTAGATGCCTTACATGCTCAGTCCTAGACCCAGGCCCCCACTTACGATATCTTCCATCTTCCGCTGCAATCATGCGCAGTCGCAACTTGCAGCGAGGCTTTGGAGAGTCCCATGGCCCTGCGTCACGCTGCGTGCTTTCCACGGCGATAGTCTCAGGCCATTGGTTCGGAGCTGTGTCAACCTTAGTGCATGGCAACACTGGCCCGAGTCAAAAAGAGCAGGTCACTCAGCAGCGCTTTCAACTTCGACCTGACCCTTAAGTCCGGAATGTGCCTAAACCCTAAACCCCAAACCCTAAACCCTAAACCCTAAACAGCTTGTAGCCAGGCTATGTGCCGCCAGCCCAGCCAATGGGGACCTGCCGGGACATATCCTGCCTGGAGGATGGGCTGCGAATCAGGACGCAACCTGGGTTTAGGGTTTAGGGTTGTCTTTAGCTACAGATTAGAGCTGTAGGAGAGGTCAGGTGTGCTGGTGGGACTTTAATTTCAGGTTTGGGGCTCATAGGGTTTAGCTGGACAGAAATCTTCATTGCGGTCGCTGGCCCTGAGCCCCAGTGGAGGATTGGTGCGGACAACTTTGTGATCTGCGGTAAGAATGAGAGACTTGGCGGTCCAAGAATGCGTTGCTTCGTTGATAACTGTTGACGATCTTCGACACCTGCACAATTGTTTGGTTTTCTTTGGTCATGAACACTGAAAAGTTAAGGGCAGGCGTCCAGAAGCACGCCCATGGCCAATTTGAAGGCAGGACCCACTTTTGGAAGAGCTGCAGGGTAAGTGCCAGCAACATGGGACTTTTTCAAGGCCTGGGGCGCCGGGTCCTGGACTGCCATGGTAGGCATGTATACGTGTAGACATACATTAATGATTAATGCATATTATGTAATTACAAGCTATGGCTTGACATGGCCCCGCGTTCATCTACAACCCCAAGCCATCTCAACCAGGAACCCTAAACAAGTGCGAGGCTTCGTCCAGTGCCCTGCCTACGCCACTATCTGTGGACCAACGGGCACGGATGGCCCGAGAGAAGGGACGGAGTGCCATTTCCCGGGTACGTTGCTCGGTTGGGTCAAAGGCGCTCCGAGCGCTCAGATGTTGTGAAGGTTGAAGAAAGGCACGTTTCTGAAAGCAGGTGCTGTTCTGATTGCTAGCTGGGAAAACCTCGTTTCAGATTATCATTACAGTGCTTTGCATGCTTGCAGGGGCCACGGCTTGACCAACTGATGCTGCAAACAGAATTGCCTAGCGCCGAACTAGACTCAGAGAGATCGATGCCCAGGAACCGCCACGGCCGCTGTGTAGCTTGGAGAGAACAAGTATATTCGCATCCCTACACTACAATGGACCGTCAACACATATTCGCACAAATGATTGAGTTCTCGGCTAAAAGTTATGACCAGGGATTTGGGTCCCTCCGGCTTGGATTTTCAGGGGGAAGCCCAATTCCTAAACCCCAAACCGTGTCAACATGTTTTGAGCCTTCGCAATGGGCTTGCTGCAAGCCTCCAGCACTTGTACCTGCTCTGGCATGAATACTCCCAATATAATACCTTTGTATTTGAGGGTTTTTTTTCCGCATGAGAGGGAAGGTGCGACTCGCAAGCCCGAAAGCCTAAACCCTGAATAGTAGTTTCCATTTTGTTTTCCATCATCCCTATATACCCCAACATAGCCCTCATATAACCCCAATACATCCCCAATATTTACCCTATTATAACATAGTACTATAGTTTCCATTTCATTCTCCATAGCCCTTATATAACCCCATGAGTAGTAATTGTAATCTCTCAAGCCTAAATCCCGAGCCAAGGTCCGAGGAGTTTTAAAAAAGACCGAGCCAAGGGGAGGGAAAACAAAACACCCTGATCCCTAAACCCTAAACTCTAGCGGTTTAGGGTTTAGGGTTTAGGGTTGAGGGTTTAGGGTTTAGGGTGAGGTTTTTACGTTCCTTCACTCCTCAGGTTTGTGCGCCGGGAGCGATGGGAGCAGACTGCAGCGTTGCGGACACCGCGGCCAACCGTCAGGAGCGGCCAAAGTCAAATGTAGGCATTTGGGTTATCTAGGGATAATGGAAAGTGACTTTGAAACTACCTTCTAGGTTTTAGGGTTTAGGCTTGCTGGTTGTTTGCGGATGTTAGGGTGTTAGGGTTTAGGGAGTCAAGGCTAAACTTACGTAAGACATATGGAAAATGGCAGCTACTACATTGTGGGCTAATTACATAGGAATCCATTATGGATTATGGGCTTCATAAGGCTACTGTAGGGATCCACTCCTACATTCCCTATTAGCGAAAGGTAAGAAGATCCTGGCTGTCATCAGTGCTCTCCGTGAGAGTCCGAGAACACCTTGGAACGCTGGACCATGAATGCTTGCGCCATTGTATAGTCTCAGAGGAAGATCCCAAAGATTGTATTGCTAGAGAAGTTCGCCCTAAACCCTCAACCCTAAACCCTAAATCCCTAAACCCCTAAACCCTAAACCCTAAACAGTGCTTGAAGCTCCAGGATGGGAGCTTTCAATCACCCTGAAGGATTTCCCATATGGTCTGCGGTATCCGCAGAAGGAGTTCCAGCTGAAGGTGGGCCGCTTTCTCAAACTTGGGCTTGCTGAAGGGAATACTTTAGGTGGACCCCCCACCCAGTAATAGTGACTATTATGGATAATAGGGATAATATTTGGGTCCTCTTATATTGCTATTATACCACTATTACAGGGTGGGGGGTCCTCCTATGGAATACTGGATGGTGGCGAAGTCCTGGCCTTATTTTGGGGGGGCCACTGGATTGAAGACAATCCTTCGCTTTAGAGGGAAGTAGAGGTACTGGTAGATAATCATGGCAGATTCTGACTCCTGCACGGGGCTTTCCCAAAATCATGACTCCTTCGCCAGCATCTCTACCATGCAAAGACGTACGAAGCACAGCTTTTTTTTTGCGGATGTTACCATGTTGCGGCGCCATGGCATTGCGAACAGATGTGGTTTCCATGTCTTAAGTTTGATAGTAAGCACCGAAGTCAAGCTTGTGCTTAGTTGCCTGAAGAAACGGCTTACCCTTCTTGTACATTAACTACCCTCTCAAAAAGACTAAGAACACTGAGATGAGTATTCATAAGACTAGTAAGTAGTGATGCTACTATTGTAATTATGACTATTACTACTATTGCTATTTGTAAATACTACTAGTATTCAGTATCATTACCCCTAAACACTAAACCCTAAACCCCAAACCCAGGTGCCTTTGGCTGCAAGTGCATGCAGGAA